TGCTGGGAGCGGACAGACTCGGAGCAGCCGGGCCCGGGGCAGCTGGGCCCAGAGCAGCCGGGTCTGGTGCGGCCAGGCCCGGAGCAGCGGCTGCCCCGGAGCAGCGGCTGCCAGGCTGGGAGCGGCCAGGCCCGGAACAGCTGGGTCTGGTGCGGCCAGGCCCGAAGCAGCAGCTGCCAGGCTGGGAGCAGCCGGGCCCGGAGCAGCCGGGCCCAGAGCAGCCGGGTCGGGTGCGGCCAGGCCCGTAGCAGCAGCGGCCAGGTCCAGAGCAACTAGGTCGGGAGCAGCGGTGACCAGACCTGGAGCAGCTGGTTGTGGAATGAACCAGAGCCACAGAGGCCAAGCCCGGAGCAACCAGGCCCGGAACAGCTCGCTCCTCGCCTGCCCCTGCCCCACAGCTGCCTCTCAGACATGGCTGGAAACTTTTGTGGGAACTTGAGGGTCTGCTGAATCAAACGATGAAGGCTTAGATCTGGATGTGTTGAGTTAGTATAGGACTGGGGTGTGGATCTGTGAGTGCCTTGGGTGGGGCCTGAATGAGGCTGGTTGACCTATTTGGAAATGTCTTTTGTGTGAAGTGTATCATTGGGCATGTGGAGGTATTATTGATATGAGAAAATGCTAAGTAACTGATTTACTATCTGAAAAGGGATTTACTATCGGGGAAAGGGAGGGAGGAAGAGACTGAACATAAACTGCACCTATGGATGAGGACAATGGGGGATGGGGAGGGGGCGGAGGGTGGGATGGGAACCTGGTGGAGGGGGGAAGAAATGAGGAACCTTTGTAACAATATGAACAATAAAGATTGATAAAAAAAAAAAAAAAAAGTAAGATGGGCAAAGGGAAGTATGAAATATGGACTATGCTTGACAAGTCTGTCCAGCTCTGGGGAGTAGGAAGAGGAAGCTTCATTAAGGATAACCCAGGAGATTTATTAAGGTGGAAGAGGAAGTATTTAACTCTGTGGGATCACTAATTTCTTTGGCATTCTGATGGAAAGGGGTGGATCTTGTTCCCCAGGGGAATAAACAAAATACAACAATTTTGGAAATTAAAAAAAAAATAATAATAAATAAATAAATAAAGTCACTGAAACTATGCTTTTTCTTATGTAATATTATATATATATCTGTATATATACACACACAGAGAGAGACAGAGTCAACATACAGAGTCAATATAAAAAACTGAACAAATGATTTAAAATACTATGTCTATTATTTTTTGGGAAAATATACATGCTAAATTTTTCATAATGTTAGAGAACATTTATTGTGGCTGTAAAAAGTTTCAAAATTAACTACCAATTCAAGATTTTAACACAAATTTATACAAATTATAACTGATAAAAGTATTAATACTTAATAATTATAAAGAGGTCTTTTATCATAATATTGAACTTTTAAAGTACATCACTGATTAATGAATCAAATTTAAAAAAGTTTTTTTTGGCCTTTCTGATCAGTCTCTCCAAATTCATATGGTGTACAATATGGTGTCTCTTGCATTTCATATATTAAATAAGATCTTGTACTAACAAAATCTGTAGTTAAAAAAGTGTGAAAACTTTTTTTGTGTTGAAAATTCATTATAATTAGATAATAAACACATTGATCTGCAATGTGAAACAATTACAGGAAAAATTAAACCTTTCAAAGGTAAATAATTTCTGTATTTTATTATTTATTTATTTTTTAAGATATTTTTTATTGATTTTAGAGAGGAAGGGAGAGCGAAGATAGAAACATCAGTGATAAGAAAGAATCATTAATAAGCTGCCTCCTGCACGCCTCCTACTGGGGATTGAGCCAGCAACAGGACATGTGTCCTTGACCAGAATCCAACTTGGGGCCCTTCAGTCTACAGGCCAACACTCTAGCCACTGAGCCAAACTGGCTAAGGCAATTTCTGTATTTTAAAATAGGTATCTATACAGAGCCAAAATAATAATTACTGTAATGGAAACTATTTCATATGACCCTTGAAAACTGGTCATCCAGATATTATCAGCCATCTAATAAATACTATAAATAATTCATTTTATTAGTTCTGTTTTAATTGGTTTTTGAAGGTTCTCCAAATGGCTACATCTCTCTTAAAGTATAGAAATCTAGCTAGACACTATGCTTTAATAGGGGCCTGACAAATTTGAAAAAAATATTATTTCCAGGCTTTTATATGAGAAAGTTCAGCTAATATTACAAGTTCACATTAACTTTAAAAATAACAGCATTCTATTGCTGACTTACATTTAACTGATGATTAAAGAATCACCTTTTTTGTTGCACAACTACTAATGTGATTACTTTTACCTTTAGTGCTTTCAGTTTGTCTTCAGTCACTATTTGACAAATTATTTACATTGTATATTGCCTCTGGTATCATCCAAGATGCTTTAAATCTACTCTTTTTTTTTTTCTACCAGCATAATATAATTTATTGCAAAATCTCTAATATTGTACAATAGCTACCCTCACATTTCACTCAAGAGTATTCTGGGATGGCAGAAGCAGGAGGTAGGGAATACAATAAAAGCGTATCATGTGAACACAGAGTGCTGCAGGGTAGACTTCATGCAATAGCCTACTGGTGTCCAATTATAACCAACTATGCTACCTTGGGCAGGAAGGAACTGAACGAGGCCATGAACCCTCAGTTCTCATTTGGCCAGTGCACCCCAGGTTTCTGGTGCTCCTTTGTGCTTCCTCACTCATAGTCTTATGGGGATTTGATAAGATCTCTAGCTGTCAGGCTTGTGGTGATACCAATTGATCATGAGGTCCCCAGTCTACAAGAGAAACCCTACAAGAACTTGGGCCTTCACTGAATCTTCTTTAGACAGGAATGGCTGGAATCTTTCAGAGTACATCGTCCATTGCAAAATAAATATCACTGATAAGCATAATAAGGCAAGTATGAATAAATGTGGAATGCATACCTATTAGTAAGATATAAGCCATGCTCTTAAAGTACATCACTTCATAAATTCTTAGAAGATAACACTGCATGACTCCTGAACTAACCTACAAGAAAAAAACAACTTCCTCCCCCCGAAATATACATTATCTTTAATTATAAAAAAAATCAAAGCAAAATCTTGTTGCTCTCTAGAAAATATCCTTAAATTAATCCCAACTTTATACAAGTCCACATTCTAGGAACATGCAGGGTATTAGGCATATCCATTTCAAAACATTTCTAAATACAAATATAAATCAATAGAATTTGCATTTCAAAATTAACAGAGAGACGCTGGGTCATTATACCAATTTCTAGTAACTAACTACATTGTAGATACAGAACACTGAACATGACTTGGTGTGCTTATAAACCCAAACAATATTTTATAAAAATTTAATTTATTGCCGAAACCGGTTTGGTTCAGGGGTAGAGCTCGGTCTGCGGACTGAAAGGTCCCAGGTTCGATTCCGGTCAAGGGCATGTACATTGGTTGTGAGCACATCCCCGGTAGGGGATGTGCAAGAGGCAGCTGGTCGATGTTTCTCTCTCATCGACCTTTCTAGTTCTCTCTCTCTCTCCCTTCCTCTCTGTAAGAAAAATCAATAAAATATAAAAATAAAAAAATGTTAAATTATTTTTCTCTATACTCAAGGTAAATGATGCTAGAAAATGTTTTTATGTGCTGCACTATTTATCCATATTCTTTTCTTCCTTCTATTTTTAGCCTCTTGATCTATTTAATTTACATTTCCATTTTTACTACCTTCCTAGTTATTTTCTCATTGTATTTATTTCTGATACTCTAACTTTATACTCATGCTAAATAAGTGAAAATATTTCTGAGATTCCACTTATTGAGAATGTTGAATTGCACACATAGCCTGTATTTGCTGCTTCATACATTCAAACTAAGTGAATTATATCAAACCATAATTATATAAATATAAATAAAACAAAGCAACAGTTTCAAATGTTGAAATATAGTTGAATTGATGACATACATTATAAATAAAAAGTTTAAATGACGGCAGTATCTGAAAAGTAGCATACAATTAGTAAATGGGAAAACTATGTGACCAGTTTTGTAGTCAGTCCCAAAGGAAATACAAAAGTATACGAAAATTTTCTGCCCTTAAAACATTTAGATTCTTATTTAAAGATAAGATTCTTATTTTGCTAATATTATTATCATGATAATAATATTAGCAAAATAATTTTAATAACAATAGCAGTAAAATAATAGTAACAATAGTAAAAACAAAATAAAAGTCATTAGTGTTATCGAAAGTTTCTATGTACCATGCATTGACATGTTTTATGTTTTACCTTTACAAGAACCTTTATTTTAGATATTAGGAAAATTATACATAGCAAACATACGTTATTTGTCCAAGATTACAAAATAATTAACCCAATTTACATCTGAAACAAAGTTGCCTGATTCAAAAGCGTTTATTATTAACTTTGGTTACATTGTACCAAAAAGGAGTTCAAAGAATTATATTAAAAGTTTGACTGTGGCTAGCGAGCATAGTCAAGTAAGAATGCACAGTGGGCTACGCTGTGACTTGAACTCTGAAGAAAGGTGTGTATTTTAAGAAAGTAGAAGACAGGAGAAGCATATTTTGGACCTGCGAGCATGGGGAATGAGATGAATGAGAAGTGTTTTTAATATTCTCTTTATTTACATAATTAAATACTGTTTTAACTTTTTACTAATTCATAATAAGCTTGGTCCATGGTGAAAATTTTTATGGGGAATTTTAATTGTAAGAGAGAGAAATAGCAAGACTTTTATTTTCTTTAACTAGCATGCCTAAATTTGAACTGAACTGAGATCAGATATTGAACAGTCATTGGGAAAAAACAACAACCCTAATTGAGCTTGGAATAAAGACTAAACTTAAGATCTCTTCACTGCTTTTAGTGGGCATTATCAACAAATTTTATTGTGTCAAAATCATACATTTAACAGAGTATTAGTTACAGGACATAGTATATTCCCTTAAAAAGAAGAAAAGACATTTAATGCTTACCTTGTATTACATGTGAGTTGTCTTTCAAGAAGAAGTTATACAGGTATTTGGGAATAAAAGCAGACATACACGCATATGCCAAGGCTAAGAAAGAATAAGGCAAATGCATACAACAAATTATTTAACTACTATTAAATAAGTTTATGCTAATAATTAATGGAAACACAAATTTAAAGGGGAAAAAAAAAAAAACATTTGCTCTTTAAAACAGAAAATAATTTGGACAACAAAAGATAACCACCTAGTAACTTTTCAATTTCAAACTACTATAGAAATTGTTATCCCACAATAATAAAAACCTTTATTATCAGAACATTACAAATTTTAAAAATATCTAATCATGGCCATTATTAATGAGCTATACAAATCCAAAGATCCTTATTTTTTGTTGACGCAAATAAAAAAAGCCTCAGAATTTGGATTTAGGAATCCTAGTCATAAATTATTTTTTCAAACACAGATTGCTTATTATTCTTAGAGCAATATGTGTAATAATGGCCTATGCCTAACTAAACATAACAAACTTGTAGTCTAGATAATGAGAAATGTCACAGAATAGTGCATTTTTAAACCAATTAAAATTACAAAATTTTAGTTCTCTTGGATTATGCTATTTCTACTTATTTCCAGTAACCTATGCAAAATTTGATATGAAATAGAATTTGAAAAAACAAAGATTTCGAGAATGAGGCTTCTAGAGGGTTACATAATATATGTGGTAAATACGTTCAATATGTGATATCATTACAGATTTGAGTCCATTAAGTATAACAAATATTTACTGAAAAATCTACTATAATAAAGGCATTATAACTGGGGAATAAAAAAACAGAAAAAAAAAATTCAATCATTAAACAAAGGTGCTGCTGCCCTGGTTGGGCAGCTCAGTTAGTTGCAGTGTCATCCCATATGCCAAGGTTGTGGGTTCCGTCCCCAGTCTGGGAACATACAGGAAGTAATCAGTAAATGCATAAATAAGTGGAACAAGAAATTGATGTCTGTCTGACCCTCTAAAATCAATCACTAATAATTTTTTTTTCAAAAGCTGCTAACCAAAAAAAAGGATTACTATAATAGTAGTAAGTAACTATAACACAAAACATACACAAATACTTTCCTGAAATACAAAGTGCTGGGTTTAAGAGGGAGAATGAGAAAAGTTTTCAGTAAGAAGGTAGTGGTTGAAATAATAGGCTTTGGAGATATAAGATTAATATGAATTCCTTTATAAACTGTTTAGGAAATATATATAGGCTAAACCTAATCTCTAAAGAAGTCAAAATTTTCTCTTATGTTTATAAAAATGGTTGCGAAAGTAGATTAATTTTTTAAGAATAATTAGTCAGAGTCTTTCTAAATCTCTAGTCACTGCCCGGTCACAACAGAAACTCTCCAATAATAAATTCTTCACATCCTCTAAAATTATACAACGGATTATCTCACAGATATTTATACTATCTCCTAGAAAGCAAACAAGATCCTTACAATAAAAAGAAAAACCTTTCATTGTTTGAAAAAAGTATTTTAGAATAATATGCACCACAATTATTTATTTGATAAATAAGCTTACCTTCATTATTGAAATTTAAATATAGGAATGGAGCACAAAGTGAGTCAAGACCTGATGGGGAGGGGTTGAAGAAAAGAATTCAAATAAACACAATTAAGTAGAACTGTAGATATATTCCTTATTCAGTTCTCTGCATTACCTCTTTATAGATTAAACATTATAAGTACTATTCATCAAGAAATATATTATCTATGGGTTACTGTGGGGAGTAACCGATAATGACTAGCACATAGTATGTGCCCAATAAAAATCAGATTTTATTATTATCAATATTATTATGAATTTAAGAAAGAAATATATTAATAGCAAAATATAAAGATGATAGAAGGCTTGGTAAATAGTCCCATTTCTGACCCTGTGTGTTCTTGGCAATGACTTAACATCTCCAGGCATATTTCCTCATCTTAGAGGAGATTTGTCTTATATGTTTCTCTGGTATCATGAAAAAAGACCCTTTAAAAATTGTGCAGTGAAATACAAATATGTGACATATTCCTTTTATTGATACTAATGCTGTTCATATACTGTCACACTGACAGACTATATAAATCTATCTATAATTGTTCAGAAGACACAGAACTCCTCTAAAATGGACAGAGCATAGAAAAATAATATCTTAATTTTAAGTTCGGCTAGAAATAGAGAATTTAAATGTTAAATAAAATAACAACACTGTCCATTACAATAAATTCAAATATAAGACTGGGTAAAACAGATTTCTCATGCATGAATTTATCAATGACCATAAAAAATAATGAGAATGGTAAGAATCAAGGATATTGAACATTAAAGATGTTTTTTTAAAGAGATAACAAAATAGTTTATTTGGTATCCTATTTCCTAATTTCCAATAAATAGGTTAAGCATAAATTGTAAGTGAATAAATGGTAAAATATCAACTAGCCCCAAACTATTCATGCTATAAAATTATTTATTTTCATATACACTGAGACAATGTATCCACAAAGATTACAATCACACAAAATATTCTTTCTACTTTCCTAATTAACATGATAGTAAACTGTCTCACTAAATATCAGGCCTTTAAATGATCTCTACTTGGCATTTAGGCAACGTTTTTTTAAAAAGTTCTCACATAAACCTTTCAATAAATGGATCATAGCTTTAGTATTGATTTTTCTCAAAGCCAAGGATGTTTTGATTATTTTAATTTTTAAAACTGTCAGTCATGCAATATGCTCCCTATACTTCAAAAAGAGTCTTAATAATTGGGGGAAAAAGTTACCTTGCCAATATACAAGATCAGGATGGGATACTACCCAGGCTTTTAACACACGCCTAAATTTTGCATGACCTTCTGGTGATGATAACAGTTCATCATACTGATGACAACGAGGAATATCCACTTCAATCTGTAAAATAGCAAAACAGTAAGATGAGACTGTGATTTCCAATAAACCCCAAGGTAAAGAAAATTTTTTTATTATAAATTTCATAATAGATCAATTGCATAATCCTGGTATCTAAAGTATTTGAATTTTATGTTAACACTCTGGAAACGATATAAAGGTTGTGCACTTAAGAAAAACAGACCATTTCTTTTGAAAAAGTACGTATCCAAAAAAATCTTCCTTTACAACCTTGTCTAAATAAAGGGTAAATTCTACAGATAAAAGAGTGCAATTACTAAGAAAAATCACTTGGCCTATAGTCCTTTTAGGGATAGTTCTAATTCTAACTTCTGATAGAAAAATTATGCTTACTCAAACAGCATATGAATATGATGGCTGCTGAGCATAATGAAAAGAAAATTCCCTCTTGCCTTTCTATAATTTAAAGATTTGGCAAAATTATCTTAGATTGTTTAAGAAAATCTAAATCATACTTGTCTATCTGTAGGAATTGGAGTATCTTTATCAATTGCATCATATTTGGCATGAATGGCCCCCTGAAAAAAATAAAAAGAGAATAATATTAATTTATCATATCCTCGATAAATTATTAATGTATATAAATATACTTTTTATAAACATCTATCTTTGAAAACCACCCAATTATAGATGGGAACATTAAAAACCAAAGTATACCTCTTGGAAAAATTCTTTACAGTTTTGGTAATCTGTGATGAAAATCTGGACAACTTGCCATTTTGTTCCAAAAGACAAAAGTGTTGGATGAGTCAAGTAGCAAATGAACACACTTAGTCACACACCCTAGCCTACACAGCACAATACAGCCTTGTTACTCTCTACTCATTGTTACTTCAAACATCCTCAATTTTGGGGGGGAAGGAAGCACAGGAGGCCATCCCACAAGAAATTTTCCTGTTAAAGTTGGTAATAAAAGCAAATAAAATGGACCTGTTGAAAGGAATGCTAGTTCAGCACAGGAAGCAGAAGTTTGAAATAAATTTAAGAGTAGAACATCACATAGGTATGGAATCACTAAGGGATTAAATGGATCATTTACACTTTTTAGTTATACTGGTATAGAAGAAATAACTGAATAAACCATTTCAAATTTAGTCATGTTCAATAGGACCAAAAATTGAACAATTTTTTAAACTTAGGTTTACTGTAATGGTGTAGAAAGAACCTCTAATTTGGGGTTCAAAAATTATGACATTACTTGCTGGTACATCAACTACTATGGTATGCCTATTTAATGACAGATGGATAACCTGACCTCAAAAGTCCTCTTGAACTTTACCATTATGTGGCTCTACAACTCTACCTATTAATGTATTATATGGAACAATAGGCATTCTTGTAAAGCAACCACTCAAACTCAAAGATGTTTGTAGAATCTCATGAAAAGAATTAGGAATAAATAAATAAAGTTCTTTTAACAGGGAGTTGAAAAGAATTAAAAATAGCTGAGGGAATTCAGGAAAAAATGCATGATTGGCTATTCATAAGACATTGATTGATAAGAGAATATCTGAAGGCAGGATGACAAAGAAATTGTCTGGAAAAAAACACACAACAACAACAACAAAAAATGGGGCGAGAATGTGACCCCTTATCATGACTGCTGTTACCAGAGTTCTCTGTTAGTACTGTAAGTCACTGTAATAGTTTTGTCACACTTCTCCTTTCCTCACTGCCAACAGATTAGGTTTTATACAAGACAAAGTAGTTTGTCTTGGCAACATAGTTCTTGTGGGATAGATGTGCCAAAAAAGTACTAAATTATGTTTAAAATACATATATTTTTATTAATTTCAGAGAGGAAGGGAGAGGGAGATAGAGATAGAAACATCAATGATGAGAGAGAATCATTGATTGGCTGCCTCTTGCACATCCCCTACTGGGGATCAAGCTTGCAACCTAAGCATTTACCTTTGACTGGAATCAAATCAGGGACCCTCCAGTCTGTAAGCTGACGCTCTATACACTGAGCCAAACCACCTATGGCTGTTAATGACTTTTTATAAGGTTCAAATTGATGGAGGATTTCTCCAAACTTAGAGCCATTTATAAATACGCAAGCCTATTCCTAAATAAACATACTTTATAGGCAGGATAATATGCTTATAACTGGTATATATAGTCTTAAAATAATCTGATTTAAAAATTAATAATCAAGATAATTTTTATGAGCTCCATTAAATGAAATATTAAATAATATAAATCTAACAAATCTTCAATTAAATGTTGCTAATCTATTCTTTTTCTTTAGTCCTTTCACTCAAAATTTCCAAATATTCTTAATGCTTATATTTTACTACATAACTTCCTAACTATTTGAAAAATATGTATTTGGAAAGTACTTTCCTACTTCTTCCTTCTTCCTTAGTACTATTATAGCCAACTTCTAACTTTCTCTTTTCTTTCTTACCTCAACTCCCAGAAGAGCAGCCCAGGTTAAACCTCTCATCAGTGGAGGAATGTCAACTCTTGCTTCTTTCCAGATTTGATTTTTTTTATATGGATAAGCCTACAGATGAAAGAAAGATATGAAAAATGTTTCAAATTATCAAATAGCATATTTTAGTCTAGAAAGTCCTGAATATAGGTCAGTGATAACGTTGAAAGAGATCTTAAATAAATTTCAAAGTATCTCTGTTGTTATTACTTTGGTATTATTAATACACTAAGTGGCCTGGTGTACAAAATTTGTGCACTTGGAGGGTGGGGATGTCCCTCAGCCCAGATGGAGAGAGGGACAGGCTAAGGGACCCCATCAGTGCATGATCAGGGCTGGGGAGGGACACAGGTTGGCAAGCCAGGGAGGGACCGTGGGAGGACTCCAGGCATGTCTGGCCCATCTCGCTCAGTCCTGATGGGCCGAACCCCAGCAGCAAGCTAACCTACCAGTCGAAGTGTCTGCCCCCTGGTGACCAGTGCACATGATAGCGATTGGTCAACTGGTTGACTGTCTGCTCTCTTGTGGTCAGTGCACGTCATAGGGAGCGGTTGAGCACCCTTAGCATATCAGTAGCGTTTTACGCTTTGATTGGTTGTATGGACGACTGGACACTTAGAATATTAGGCTTTTATTATATAGGATATTAAGTTGGCAGTGGAATGGTTCCCTATATTCTGTAAATCTTCTATAATACAAACAAAGAGGTGAGCTGATTCTACTGTTTTTAATTATTTCTATTTTGTGATATAAATTAACAAGGAGTCATGTGTAAATAATACTATCAGCTTCATATGGGTTAAATAATTTATGCATATATATATATAAAATATAAACTATTTATGCATATTTGTAAAATATCAGGTCATATAGAAAGTATTCAATAAATGTGTTATTATTATGGCTACTTCTATAACCTTGCATATAAATTTGTCCCTTTATAAATTTGTACTTTAGGAGAGAGTTCTAGAAAAGAATTATTAGGATAAAGGGTATGGACATTTTTAAGGCTCTTCATATATACTTTCAAATTGCCTTATGCACTGTTTCAATTGACACTTATTCCAAAGGAATAAGAGGTCCAATCTCAATATGCTTTGTTCACTTTACTAATTTGGTATAAAAAAATATATAACATTTTTCCATTCCTAGTGAGGATAAATATTTTGAATAGATTTACTGACTAGCTGTATTTCTATTATATTCTTTATCTTTCAATATTAGTACTTTTTCCTGTAGATTTTTAAGTGTTCTTTAAACAGTATGGATATGAATCTATTATTTAATATGATTTTACATATAACCCTACATCATTTTTACTTTTTTACATTTGTTTTTACTTTTAAGTTTTACTATGAACATGCATCATTTTTGTAATTAAATGTGTTTTTAAAAAACATATATTTTATTGATTTTATACAAAGAGGAAGAGAGAGGGACAGAGAGTTAGAAACATCAATGAGAGAGAATCATCGATCAGCTACCTCTTGCACACACCCCCACTGGGGATGTGCCAGCAACCAAGGTACATGCCCTTGACTAGAATCGAACCCGGGACTCTTCAGTCTGCAGACCGACGCTCTATCCACTGAGCCAAACCAGTTTCGGCTTTGTAATTAAATGTTAATCAGAAAAGATGAGCTATAAAGATTAGTTTTCTCATGACATCAAGATTCTCTAATAATTACAAATGAAATAAAAAACAAGGATTGTATATGGGCTCTTAGAACACTTTCCATATTAGAATCTCTACCTTGAGCAGCCTGTCGAAGAGAATGATCCTGTTAAGCTGGTACTCGGTGTCCCTCTCCCGGATGATTAAAGGCAGTGTGGCAGCAGCAGACAGTTCATTGCTGCTATTGGAATGAGGTAAATTAGACTGGCTGTAAAAGAGAAACAAAAGGTATAAAATTTAAAACAAACAAAACTCCATATTAAGTGTTTTATTTAGGAAATGCTCTTCATTGAACATATATGTTTGTTACCAATCTAACATAAACAGTGAAGAATATTAAGTGTAAAAGAAGACAAATATATACTCACTCATCTTCAAGTAGTGGGTAAAATGCTTCTCCACCAACATCTTTTAATCTCTGTGAATTAAAAGAGAAAATATTATGTTTGAGTTTCTGAGACAGAAACGCTGAACTGCACTTAAAAAGCAGCATAATATAACATTTATGAATTTGTGGGAAGTTCTGAAAAGTATAAAATTTAAAATCCATTCCTATCATAAATATACAAATATATTATGCCCCTAGTGATTAAGTTGAGCTCTGAAGAATAGTTTTTGTATGTTGATTATTTTTAACACCAGGTGTCTCTTGTGTAAGATATCTACTATGATATTTCCCAAATACAATTCAGGATTTCTGAAATTAGTATAAAATTTAATACATGGATAATATAGTTTTGAATTATACCAGAGGCCTGATGCATGAAATTTGTGCAAGAGTAGGCCTTCCTTCTCCTGGCTGCTGGCACTGGCTTCCCTCTGGCACCCGGGGCCCGGGCTTCCCTCCGGCTGCTGGAAGGCAACCTGGACCGGCTTCTCTCACAACCAGGCTTCATCTGGAAGATTGTCCAGAAGGACAGGACATCTGGTCTAATTAGCATATTATGCTTTTATTATTATACATGAAGGTTATTTTAAAAAGTACTTAAAAAATATAAATCCATTAATTTAAAACTCAATTTAATTTACTTATTTTTACTTTGTAATTAATACAAATAAAATAAAATTCAAAAAAATTTCACAACATATTTTGAATATGTATGATTCAAATATTAATGAGTTCAATTCTCTTAATTATCTTTTTTAAAAGTCATCCTAATAATGTTTCTCCAATAATAACATAACATGCAGGATGATAGGTATTCTTCAAAAACAGGCCACAGGGTAGTAAAATGAGACACATCTTAAGAGGGTGATTAATGTTATCGCTACCTTGCCTGCTGCAATGCTCTTCAGTGCAACTTCCAACCAGAAGGCAGAGTGCCTGCTCCTATGGGATTGACACAGAGGTACAAGCTCTGTGTGCAGCCGGCCCTGACCTCCTATTGATTAGAGTCCTTATGCACTTACATTAGCATTATTGCCAGAATTTTTAAAAGCCAAAGAAAATCTTTCATCCAACACTGAGAATCTGGCAAACACTGATTTTATGCGTGGCTTCTCTTTAAAATTTTGACATGCCATATATGCACTTATCCTATTTTGCCTTTAAATCCTTAGGTATTTCTTTCACAGATTAAAATTCTAAGTAGAAAACTAGTATTTTCCCAAGTTTCACTGCATTATTAATATATAATTTTTAAAGTTTGAGTTTTACTATTCTTTAAATCATAAATAGTACTCTTAAATATATTTTCTGCTGTTTTTATTAATTAAAATTTTAGCATATCAAAGGCAAAAAAGGGAAAAAATACCTGTACAGAAAGTATAAGGTAAGAGTTATTCTTTGGTTTCCAAATTACTTTAAAAATCAGCAACGTTAACATTTTTTCTAGTATTTATAGAAAAATGTTTTTATTTATTTTTGTATTTTTTGTTTTTGCAAATAAATTTTTATTGAAATCTTCTAGAAGAAAATATAGAACATTATACAAAATATATTGATAACTTTGGTATAACTTTAAATAAGTAACAGTAAATAAAATATAACAATTAAACATAGTTAACTATAAAACACTGATAAAAGAATCTAATTAATTAAAAGATACTATTAAAAAACTTAAAGAAGCCAGAGATTAAAAAAAATTTGCACCACATATAGCCAACAAAGACTCTGTATTTGGAATACATTTTAAAAGTCCTCAACTCAGTAAGAAATGACTCAATAAAAAAAATTGGCAAAAGATGAATCAGTCACACATAGAAGAGGTAAGCAAACAGTCAAAAAACATGAAAGAACTCATATCTATACTATAATCATGGAATTAAATATTAGTATTTAATTAAATATTAGTATTAGTAGTAAAATACCATTCTGCTCCTTTTGGAGCAATAATTTTAAAAAATTTGATACTATGTGTTACCAAATATGTGGAGAAATGAGAACTCTTATGATGGTAAAAAGGTAAACAAAATCACCTTTTAAGTAGTGAGACAATATATATACTAAAGCTGAAGATGTACAGATGCATTTCCAATATCGCTGTACATGGCCTCATACACTAAAGAGACCCTCTTTTAAAAAAAGAAAAAAAAGAAAAAGATCTCAGGCAAATTTGCTAAAATAGCAATCTTACATTTCTTAGCTGGCATAGTGACAATGTCACAGTAGTATCATCCAATAGTGAGCTTCTATCTCGACCTTGTCCAAAGCTTTCACCATCTTCAAAGAGAAAACTAGAAGAAATTTAAAAAAATTATTATTTTAATGAGTACACAAAATCCAATTTAGTGTTTCTTCTACAAAAGAAATTTTATTCTAAATCATGAATCCTTTCATGAAAGAAATTTAATGGGTTTACAAAAAAATACAACTGCTATTTGAAAATTCTCTAAACAACTAATTTTAAAATATGTGTTGAGTAAGTATGAATATAGTATATAAAAATAAAGCATTTTAGCAATATCAGAGTGTGACTTACACTATTTAAGTTAGGTTCAATACAAAAATTACTTTGCTACCCAAATGTGATCTTGAGAAAGTATGTATAAGTGAAGAATGATAAAGTGAGAAAAAAAGAAAAACCTTACATAATGATCGTGATTTCACAGGGGAAAGAATATCGAATATTAAGTGTATGAAATTTGTTTAGAATATCAGAAAATTACTTTGGAGAATTTATATACCCTTTAAAGTACTTATTCTTAGAATTTCTCTTATTTTATTTCTTAATTTCCACCTAATTCAATGTGAGCAGTATAATTGAAGTTAATATTTAAAATTAGTTTAAGAGAGAAAAAAAGTAGAGAATCAATGGTCTATTCAAATAATTAACCTAAAATTTAACATGTGAGGAAAAGAAATGATCAGCAGGTTATTTCTACAATAACCTACAATGACAAAATATAGTACAAAAATCTAAAATTAAAATGTTAGATAGAGCATTGGTGGAAACTCAAGAGATTCAGATTCTTATCTATAATATTATACACGAATAAATGTTAAGAGCAAGGAAACAGCAATAACCTTGGCCCTCAGGGTTGTCTTGTTATTTGTAGACTGTTATGTTATTAGATTGTATTCAGTCTAACTTACAGAATGGTGTCCAGGATCTTGTGCAGTTGTGCAGATTTTTCTCAACACTGATCTAGCACCTTAATAATCTCTAACGCAAGCAAGTACCTTTACATGTACGATTTGTAATTGGTAATAGAAAATAGTTTCTCATAATAAGCATGTTAGTTGATTAACTCTTGAATATTACTGTTCTTTCTGACTGGTATCTTTTTCATTTATTGAACATCAATTATTACAAGGTATTCCATAATAATAACTTCAAATGGAGGATAAGCATATTACTTGTGAAAACAAAACAAAACAAAACAAAAAACCAATACACCCTATCTGGTTTGGCTCAGTGGATAGAGCATCGGCCAGCAGACTGAAGGGTCCCAGGTTCAATTCCAGTCAAGGGCATGTACCTTTGTTGTCCATACATCCCCGGTAGGGGGTGTATAGGAGGCAGCTGATCAATGTTTCTCTATGATCGATGTTTCTAACTCTCTATCCTTCTCCTTTTCTCTTGTAAAAAATCAACTAAAAAAAAAAAAAAAAAAAAAAAAGGCCTGTGGTCGTGATGCTGTGGTCGTGATGCTGTTATAGCATCATGATCACAAGTGTTTTAAATAATATATATGTATTTATTAAAACTAATAAAAATATTGATGGGAACTTAATAATTAGACACTTCATTGAAAAAAGTAAGTTACTAACTTCCAATCGCTGTGATAAACACTTAGTTGTAATGGCTATCAAAATTGTTTTTAAAAATTCATTACTAATTTTTTATTTCCACCATTTATCTTTTCTTACTTGGGGAGTGTGCAGATAGGTGGTTTGGGCCGAATAATTTCCTTGTTCACAAGCTCTTTCTCCAAGTCACCTCCAGCTAAACACCAAAGGTAATACACTTCTTCAATTGATCTTTCTGCCAGGTAATCACTGCTTATATCTATTAGTGGTAAATTAAGACAATCACAGTTATCTCACCTTTTGTTTCTATTAAAAGGCGACAGACAATAATAGCTGACATTTTAAAACAGTAAAAACTTAAAAGCATAGTAAGATATCCTTAAGAATATACATACTATAAAATGCACAGAGTATGAAATGTACATGTAGTTTCTTGAGAAAAAGTGGAATTTTACCCTCTGGCTCATAGATATATCGGGTATATCTAAGATATCGAATTCTATGTAAAAGGATTAAGGGCAGAAAAAAACATAGAGTAGGCAAACACCACAAACTACTGTATCTTTCGTGTCTTGAGTCAATTGCTGCTTCTCTGGAGAAGTGATTCTTGATATCTCATGCAGGCTATGCTTCCATTCTGCTATGTTCATATAAACCTTCATTTGTAATCATAATTATGTGACTAAATTTCTGTCTGACTCACCATTTGGCATTAATGTTACTTGAAAGCACAGTGTGTGAAACAAAGTAGGAACTTAATAAATATTTAATTGAATGATGGTTAGTAACTATTTCTTGCTATGACTTATTTCATGATAACCTTCCAGTATACTAGTAAGAATAACTTACTAGTGTCACCAAAGCACACATTCTGAGATGTGTAATTGTCATAGAGATAAAAAGACAAAGCTGATATTCTCTTAAAATGTTAAGTATAATAGTATGAGTGTTTTATCAACAATACAATTTTCAACAATACAATTTTCAGAGATCATTTATAATACATTATCTATATATATAAAAGCCTAAGTGACCAAACAATCGAATAACTTGTCGACTGGTCGCTATGACGCGTACTGACCACCGGGGGACAGATGCTCAATGCATAGGATTGGGCCCCTTCCTGTCTGGATAGGGCCTGGGGGGGTTGGGCTCCCTTCTGTCTGGATCAGGCCTATAGGGATCGGGACAAAAACCGGCTATCTGACATCTCACAAGAGGTCCCGGATTTCAAGAGAGCACAGGCCAGGCCGAGGGACCCCACAGGTACATGAATCTGTGCACCAGGCCTATAGTATAATATATAAATGTAGATGTAGTGAAAATTCCATTGCGAATTAAAAGACCCAATTGTAGTATAAAGATTTGAGATGAAAATGGGACTTTGTTTTGCATAGTAAATTTTTGTGTGGTGCCACATCCTCTCCTTGATTCTTAAAGTTCTTGCTCAAAAGTAATTTGAATGGAAAGGATTAAAAGTTAGGTTAGTTATATAAAATGCTATGTTAAACATGCCTGGAGTTACCTCTTAATTTCAAGATAAGTGTCCATAAAGTCTCACTAATGTATTATATATATTGTTGATACATTCAAAACTAGGATATGGATACTCACTTTAAAAACAAGGCTTATATTATTGCTTATGTCTTATGTATCATTACCTTTACACAGCTGACTGATATCCTCAGGCAGAGTTAAATCAGCACATCTCAGAGAAGAGGAAAACAAACTGACAGGTTTCGTAAATGGGGTGTATAAAGGTGACACTTCACTGAACACCTTGTCCTGCATTAATTCATCTGGGGTTGGCCTTGAGAAACATTTAAAATACAGAGCATGAACGAAAGTCATTAGAATTTTCCTAGAATAATGGCAAGCATTCAAAGGAATAGTTAAAAGTCTTAAATACCTCATTAGCACATCCTATGTAGTAAAAGCCTAATATGCTAAGTATCTGACTATTCATTCAACCGGTCGCTATGACGAGCACTGACCACCAGGGGGCAGATGCTTCAACTGGTAGTTTAGCTTGTTCCTGGGGTCTGGACAATCAGGACTGAGTGAGATGGGCCGGCCACATCCTGGGGCCCTTCCTCAGTCCCTCCCTGGCCCCCATCATGCACAAGTGGGGTATAACCCTTAGGGAATGACTGCAGGCCAGGCCGAATCAGTGCACCAGACCTCTAGTAATATAATAAAGCCCTCCTTCAAGGAGTCTATAAGTATCCTATATAATAAAAGGCTAATATGCAAATAGATCGAATAGCAGAACGACTGGTCACTATGACTTGTACCAACCACTAGAGGGCATGAGCTTCCCCCTGATGGTTAGTGCACCCCCACAGGGGGAGCACTGCTTAACCAGAAGCCAGACTCTTGGCTGGTGAGCTCAGCAGTGGTGGCAGGAGTCTCTCCCGCCTCCGTGGCAGTGCTAAGGATATCTCACTGATGGATTAGGCCTGCTCCATGCCTAAGCTGAGGGACCTCCCCCCAAGTGCACGAATTTCATGCATTAGGCCTCTAGTATGATTATAAAACAATCAAGTGACTATAGGTAGTAAATGCTGAATTTTTTACCTTTGTTATACTTTTTACATTTTGTGATCTACCAAAATTATTACGAGTGTCTCAATTTTAGCTTGATTACCAGGTGTCTGCTTTACTGAATATATCTATACTAATAAAAGAGAAAGATGCAAATTGACTGTACCTTCGCAAGGCCCATCAGCCAATCAGAAGTATGCAAATTAACCAACAAAGATCGTGGGTTAATTTGCATACTCAGGTGCCAACCGGCCAGGGGCGGGACAAGTGTTCCACGCTGTCCCAGCTTCTCCAGGCCTCTGGGCAGGGTGGGAAGGTGGAAAGGCGGCTCCTGCCAGAGCCAGGAGAAGGAAGGCCCATTCTAGCACGAATCATTGTACATCAGGCCTCTAGTTAAATAATAAAATTGTACACTAACAATATCTCTTATTATAGTTTCTTCCTACCCTTAGTTTAATATGGCATATTTACCCAAAACTATGCTTCTAATATCATTACTTTCTTCCTACTATCCCTTGACAAAAATGTTTGTCTAAAGGCAAATTAGAATACATTATTATTATTTTTAAATATTATATACCTGAGGGGGTTTAGGGATAAGTGTATGGCTAACAGTGATATCATCAAATGAAAATAAATAATACAACCTCTAAGAAATCCTTTTATGTAATCAACAGTTGTTAGCTTACTTCACGGTTTATCCAAGTCTTTTGCTATAATATATAGTATACTGCCAATAAACTTTTGTTCTCATTTCTCTTCTATCATTTTAATTGAGGAATATGTATATCTCACAGTTTAGCTGTTTTTTTGTTTTTTATTTTTTATATTGGAGCCTAGGAAATGAACCAGTATCTTCTTTTGCTATATTCCAGTTTTCTGACTATAGCTTAATTATTTTTTCTTCTTTTCTTAACATATATTAAAGCCATTAATAACAGTTATTACTACATACTGTATATAAATATGCTTATTAAATACATTGGCATTATAACCATCAAGAAAAAAAGATTAACTACTTATATGATAAAGATCTGTGTAATCCCAAACTCTTAATATCAACCTCTTGGAAGGGTGGAAGGTGAGACATTTCTTCAAAAGATCTATCACATTTTCAGGAAGCTCCTGGGAAATCAAGAGAAAAACAAAACTATTTAAAATGATCAATTTTAAAAATAAATTTTAGGAGAGGGGCCCTAGAGGGTGGAAATGAGAGATACATATAATATCATTAACAAAAAATACATTAAAAATAAATTTTACTCAAATGTTTGCTAATGAAGGATATTTTGGTTTATTTATTTTTGTTCCAAAGATTTGTGTTTATCTGACAAACTCAAATGCGTTATTCTTTCATCTTTATTATTTTTTCTTTTTAATTAAATTTATTGGGGTGACACTGGTTAATAAGATAATACAGATTTCAAGTGTACACCTCTATGATACATCATTTTCATATTGCATTATGTTTTGATTTTTTAAAAAGTCTTTATTTGGACTTTTCCAAATAAACACAGCTTTAAAATAGCTTGCTATTGGATCCTAAATATGCAAAATGAACAAATTTTCAATAACAGATTAAATTACAAACCTTTATAATGTCCAGGCAACCATGTTCTTCAGCCAGAACTGTTATAGTGTCATCCACGCAGTCTATAAAACAAAAAAATTATAAGAATAAATGCTGCTATTCTAATTTATCAGACATACCGAGTACTGAGCTCTGATACTTTTAAAAAATATTGAGTAATGCTGTTATGAAACCTGGAATATTAAAATTTGTGACTTTTTAAACTTTCCTTAGGTATAGTGATAAAAATAAAGACTTCAAACACTAAATTTTAATTGAATCATAGCCTAATGAAGCCGCCTAATTGTAAGTGAAATAAAACAGTGATCAAAGGAGATAAATATTCTTGTTCATGTTTTTTTCACTATAGGTGTGTACTTTAAATGGTTTTATTATCTTTTCATGACTATATAACTTATTTTTATTATATACAATTTGGAGAATGTATACATTTCTCTGAGGACTTAAAGTATAAGTTTGGTCTGTAGATGACATTTAGAAATCTCAAAGACTCCTTAACAGCTATATTATCAATCTTTAAAACTAAATGTGGTAAATATGGTAAAATTTTATTTATAATTCATTATTATTAATATTCTGTACACATTATTTGTACACTCTATTAACCTGTATACCAATCTATTACTCTTTTACATAAAGTGCTCTATCACTCTTTTCTCTTCTTTTTTACTGTACATGCTTAATTTATTCCACTCTAAAGTAGATTACATTTTTATAAATTTGAATTGCAAATATTTGTATCTAATATACATGTAAAATATATGAACTTGTTATAAGAAAAAATAAACATTATTCTTGACTAATTCACATATGAATCATCAAATAGAAAGCTCCAAAGTTGATATAATATGTCAAAGCAAACTGCTAGAGAAAAATATAATTTTATATTCTCAAGTTTTGATTTCACATGTTAGTTTACTGGGCTAGATCATAAGGTTAATTTTACATCCATCCACAGCATAATTCCTCAGTAAATAAGGAAAGCTGTACTATAATTCATCAGATGCACTTCTTAAATTGTCCTGTTAACGCTTACCACTGAGCATTAGAAAATTAAAGAAAGCTAGGATATTTTAGTGTATTTGATTACTAACTCTCAGTAAAGATTATATTTATATTTGAAAGATAACTGCTAGACACTTACCCAATGTAAGCAAAAATTTTAGTCTTTCAGAAACATCCAAGCTCTGAAATAATTTTCTTCCCTAAATAAAATGGGAAAAGAATTTATGTAAACATTTGCATGTTTTTTCTTAGGAGGTGTTTTTTTCAGAGCTGAAAATAATTTTATCAGGTACTTCTATTTCTCTTCAGAGTTTTATTAGATTTTTAAAGTTAGTTCCATTAAAGAAAAATTATTGGTTAGGTAATGATTTTTTAAATATTACATAATATTTAACACTTAAACATTTTAGTTTGATCTCAAGCACTGTTCACTTTTGAGACCATACATACTTGAATGGATTCCAGGCTACCAGGAATGTTATTAAGAGTACAAGATTCCTCCTAAGAAAGATTCAGATTACCAAACTAAATTCTTCCTTACATATTATGATCCAGGCAATCTGTTATCTCTAATAAGACACATTCCATGACACTCTCTTTTCCGCAATAACTTGGCCATCCTTTGTACTCACAGATAATCTGGTATATTTATTTTAAGACACATACATTATATTTATTTTAATACACATACATTTATTTTAAGACACATAAACTCTTTAAAATATATATATATATATATATATATATATATATATATATATATATATATATATATATATAGTTTTATTGAATTCAGAGAAGAAGGGAGAGGGAGAGAGAGACAAAAACATCAATGATGACAGAGAATCATTGATTGGCTACCTCCTGCATGCCCCACACTAGGGATCAAGCCTGCAACCCAGGCCTGTGTCTGGACTGGGAAGGCACACTGGCCAGGCTTTAACTGTTTTCTTTATTGGCTTCAGGGGGCTACTTGGAATGCACTCTGGAACCAAACACTTAAAACTTCAGCGACTATATGCTGAACAACTACCGTATTTTCCGGTGTAAAAGACGACCCCCTAATTTTACAGTTAAAACACAGGTTTAGGCCTATATTCGCTGTATAAGACTACCCCCCACTTCCGAGGCAATACCAGTTCTTTTTCTAATAGACCGCCTCTTTGACTCTGGCCAATCTGAGCAGGCTTTTTACTAGAACACAGTGTAGTTTCGGGTACAGAACATGTATAATTTGCATGCATAAAAAGCCTGCTTGGATTGGCTGAATTAGAGAGGCAGTCCGAGCAGCCTTGCAGTGATTGGTGTGGGATCGAGTTGGAAAATTCGTTTAGCGGCATATTGAGATATACTCAGTGTATAAGATGACCCTCGATTTTCGGTTGACTTTTTCTCGTTTCAAAGACGTCTTATACTCCGGAAAATACGGTACTAGAATTGTGTGCCGAATTTGATATTCTACTACCAGTTATACACAACTTAGACAAATTGCTTAACCAGCTAAGCCTCACTTTTCTCATCTATTAAAATTGAATATTTACAGTAAGGGTTATTTACATATGTATAAAAATACATAGCATTTTTTGCACATAGCACAACATGGTTAGTATTATGTTTCTCTTATTATAAACAAATTAAAACTTATATGTCCCTTAAAGTAAACTTAGAATAAGAAAGCTTAAGAGGAGGTAACATGGCATTTATATAGAGAAGATCAGACTCTGATTTAAAAAGAAAAGAAAAAATTTTCTCAAATACTTATGAAATTAGAAATGCAGCCCTGGCCAATTTGGCTCACTGGCTAGAAAGTTGGCCCTAAGACTGAAGGATCCAGGTTCGACTGAAACTTATGCAGGCTCGATCCCACCACAGTCTGGGTGTATGTGGGAGGAAAACAATTGATGTCTCTCTCTTTCTGTCTCTCCCTCTCCCTTCCACTCACTTTAACAATCAATAGTGTAAATTCTTGTTTTTGTTTTTGTTTTTATTGTTTGTAGAGGTCTCCTATAGATGTTTGGTATTTCTTAGATATATAGTACTCATGTTTTAATATAGGATTCTACACATCATGTAGACTATGGGACTTTCTGGGTGGCAAAGTGGCTATAGTAACTTTCTGGTGATATGGCCAGAGATTCCTAGCAAAATGGTCTTGGTATAGCTTCTCATCTATTTCCCTAGAATTTCTAGTATAACCAAAGTTGCCTTTGTTAGCTGTTGGTATGTCGTTAATTTATACCTTAGTATTTGTTTGATGATGCAGAGGAAGATTTAAGCTCATGTTCAGTTTGCCATGCTTAAACTGTATAAACTTTGAGTAACACTTAAAATGTCATAAAGCTCACATAATGAAATTAATACTTCCTTTCTTGGTATTCACACAGCTCTCTGAGTTTATCTTCAAAGTTTATGGATTTGAATTAAATTATAAGCTCCTTCACAATGTGTCTTAATCACAGTTTATTCCTTGTTGCATTTGTCATGATGCTATACATACAACATATACATACAGTAAATACTTTTTAACATTTTTTAAATTGAAATATTCATATAAGACATGCCCAGATCATAAGAGTTTAGATATAGTTAGTGGTAATAAAAATAAAAAACTGTATATTTTACATTTATTATACTTTACTTTTATATTCCAAAATAATTTTTTAATTTGTCTATGATTTTAAACAATAAGATTTATTATTATTTTATACCAATGAAAAAAGTAAGATGGTCTAAACAAAGGATAGAAAAGAATCAGAAAATCTGACATTTTCCCTTAAAGAACTGCCAATATGTAAATAACAAATATAACTTTTATTACTATTATTATTTAATCCTCACTTGAGGACATGCTTAGAGAGGAAAGGAGGGGGTGGGGGGAGAGAGAGAGAGAGACAGACAGACAGACATTGATCAGTTGCCTCCATATGTGCCACAACCTGGTATTGAACTTATAACATAGGTATGTGCCCTGACCAGGAGTCGAACCAGCAATCTTTCACTGCACAGGACTATGCTCAAATAAATAAACCACCCCAGCTAAAATATTATGCATAATCCTATACAATAAAGAGCTAAAATGCAAATGGGCATCATGCCCTCACACCATAAAGGCTCAGACACTCAACACTGGGGAGAGAGGAATGAGGACCAGCCAGGCACAAATGAGCTGATGAGAGAGGAATGGGGACCAGCCAGGCTTCAGGCTGGGAGAGGGACAAGCAGCATGCCCCATGGTTCCAGGTGCCAGCACCTATGGCTGAGGCTAGGCCTATGGCCCGGGAGAGGGACAATTTGCATGCCCCGTGGTCCTGGGCACTAGCGGCTGTGCCTGTGGCTCAGGAGAGGGACAAGCCACCCACTGAGCAGTCCTGAGTGCCTGCACCTGTGGCTGCAGCCCAGGAGAGGGACAAACCAACCACCCTGCGGTCCCGGGCACCAGTGCCTGCAGCTGCGACCTGGACAAAGTCACCTGCCCATGGTCCCTTCGGCTGTGGCCAGCCCAGGTGAAGCTGGTCTGAGTCCTGGTTGCCTGGAACAAGCCAGAGTAGAGAATTCTGGGTCCCGGATGTAGGGCAAGGCAGAGGCAGTTAGGGGTGATTAGGCCAGCAGGGAGTAGTTAGGGGTGATCAGGCAGGCAGGCAGAAGTGGTTAGGGGCCATCAGGCAGGCAGAGATGGTTAGGGAAGATCAGGCAGACAGGCAGAGGGGTTACAGGCGATCAGGCAGGTAGGAAGGCAGGCGAGCGGTTAGGAGGCAGCAGTCTTGGATTGCAAGAGGCAGTCGGACATCCACTGAGCGGTCCTGGATTGAAGAGGGTGCAGGCTGGGCAGAGGGAACTCTGTCTCCTGTACATGAATTTCGTGCACCAGGCCTCTAGTTAATAGTAATAAAAGCTAACATTTATGGACTATTCAGTATGTAACACCCTGTACTAAGTACTTTATATACATTATTTCATTTTATTTTTCTGACAACTTTACAGTACAGACACTGTTGTTATTTATAGAAGTGGAACCAAGGCTTTGAAAAGTTAGTTAGCTACCCTAACTCACACAGCTATTCTTTGTAGCATCAGAATTTAAACCCAGTTTACTCTGACTACAGAAGCTTACCTCTTAACTATTATGCTTTACTACCTCTGCTTTAAATTAATTCTTAAATACATAAAAGAAAAATGTCAAACTAATTCTTTTTCAAAAATATATTTTATTGATTTTTACAGAGAGGAAGGAAGAGGGATAGAGAGTTAGAAACATCGATGAGATAGAACCATCCATCAGCTGCCTCCTGCATACTCCCTACTGGGGATGTGCCGGCAACCAAGGTACATGCCCTTGACCGGAATTGAACCTGCAACCCTTCAGTCCTCAAGCCGATGCTCTATCCACTGAGCCAAATCAGTTAGGGCCTAATTCTTAAATATAATAAATATTAGTGACTTAATTTTTCAAAATATTTTGAAAGTTCCTTGGAAGACAGCTATAATAGATAAATAATAAAAATTTCTGCATCAAATAACCTCGTAGTCCAAGTAAAGTAGACAAATTTGATAAATGCCAAAATAGAAGAGGAGAGCAAAGAAGATTGCTCAGGTGCCAAGTATGATGGATACCTATAATGATATGTTCATGCTCTCCAGTAAACAAAGGCTGGCAGATATATGAAGGTAGAATTGACAGATTGCTAGTTGCTCCTCCAAATCCATTTTCAACACCTTTGTCAATATTTATGTGTCCAGTTGAAGACAACATGTCCTAGTCTCCCTTATACCTATATGTAGCAACATGTAAAAATTATCACTAGTGAAAAGTCGAGTTGATTATTGCAACTTTTACTAGTAGATCACATCCTTAAATTGTTACCATGGAATCACTCTTCTCCTCTTTCCTCATGGCTTTAAAAAAATGTGATATAGAGAGAACTTTGGAAACTAGACACTGGAGCCATTCTTGATAGCCTTGGTTTCTTCATGACACCTATAATATAAGGGTAATATGCTAATTAGACCAGCTGTCTTCCTGACATCATTTCATTCCGGACATCTTTCCTGATGAAGCTGGGTCTGGAGGGAAGCCAGCCCAGGTCCTGGGTGCCTGCGGGTGGCCTGGGGAAGGCCAGGCCAGGTCCTGGGTGCCTGCGGGCACCCAGAGGAGGGAAGCAGCCCCTGTCCCAGGTGCTGGAGGCAAGCCGGTGCCAGTGGCTGGGGGAAGGAAGGCCTACTCTTGCACACATTTTCATGCATTGGGCCTCCAGTTGTAGAATAAAGCCCACCCTACCCTCAATAGACTATTACATGAGGGAGAAAAACATCTACGTTCTTTAAACTACTGCATTTTTAGCTCCTTTGTTTTTATAGCAGTTTATTATTTACCTTAATAAATACAGAGGATATCTGGGAAAGGCCTCATAAAAAGCCAACATATAAAGTGAGTCTTATAGGAAACATAAGAGAACATGAGAAGAGGAGGTATCTAAAAAAAGAAAGACTACCACAGAAGGGAGAGAGCATGAACATACCAAAGAATGTTAACAGTTTTATTATAAACATTTATACAATGTTTAGTTTTTAAACTTTGTATAGTGTAATTTTTTTTTTTACTTAATACAAGGGTAAAGGAAATAACAAAATAGTATTAACAGTTAGTAAAACTTACAAGTAGTAACAGTGTAAACATTTCTAGAGCTACCAAAATAAAAGGCAAATTAATTGTCAAACAGGATTTTCTTAAAAGTCAAATTGAGAATTAAGACATTTCTCTTCATATCTAGTCAATTGGCAAAGAAAAAGATATTATTACCAAATAGTTTTCCTATTAAAAATTTTTCTCTAAAAATACAATTTTTAAATTGTTAATTAATATTTTTATACCTACCACACAAAGCTCAAATAAAATGATTCCTAGAGACCATACGTCTGATTTGGGGCCAGAGGGCAATGGTTTTTCACTTGGCACATGATCAGTGGTTTTGGAAATTCCTTGTGCAATTACCTCAGGTGCCAAGTATGATGGATACCTATAATGATATATTTAAAAAAATGAGTAATTACTATGAACAACAACAAAGATAGGAAGAAGTAAAGAATATTTTATCTTTCAAAACAGTATTCATTATTTTGAATACCAGCAGGAATGTAAAAATATAATATATAAATTAAAAGCTAAGACTCTCCCATCCCTGTGCTCCAGTCACTTCCACATACTTAAGTACATGTAAACTTGACCACCCATCACCACTGCCACACAAGTCAGCATACTACTATACACAATACTCTGTATATTTTACAGAGATAATTCTACAACAATAAGTATAGCTTTGTCTCATTCTTTCTGAAAACTGTCAACGAGCCTACTGAGCAGAGAGCAGCGGAGGTGGCAGGCACAGTGGGGCTGGGATGAGTGGGAGCAGCGCCTGGCCTGGGCTTGGGCTCCTCCCAGGCCGCTGGCCACTTCACACACTAATACATCCCTCGGGGATGTTGGACTTTAGGTTTTGGCCTGATCCCCGCAGGCCACATGGAGGGACCCCACTGGTGCATGAATCCATGCACTGGGCCTATAATATCAAGTTGCTCTTTCAGGTTATATCAGTTTATATTCTCACTAAAGGCCAAGTGCAAAAAATTTGTGCACTGGAGGGAGGTGTCCCTCAGCCCAGCCTGCACCCTCTCCAATCTGGGATCCCACAAGGGATGTCCGACTGCTCACAGGGATCAGGGCTAACTGGGCAGTCGGACATCCCTCTCAAAATCTGGGATTGCTGGCTCCCAACTGTTCACCTGCATATATGCCTGATTGTCTCTAACTGTTTCTGCCTGCCAGCCTGACTACACCATAACCCCTCCCCTGACAACCTAATTGATGACTAACTGCTCCCCTGCCGAACCTAACTCCCACCCCAGCAGGCCCTGTCACTCCTAACTGCCCTCCGCTGATGGCCCGATTGCCCACCCCTGCAGACTCTGTCACCCCCTAACTGCCCTCCCCTGCATGCCTGGTCCCCCACAATAGCACTTCCCTGCTGGCCTGGTCACCCCCAACTACAGCCCTCCCCTGATGGCCTGGTCCTCCCTGGATGGCCTAGTCACTCCTAAGTGCCCTCCCCTGCCTGACTGGTCGCCCTTAACTCCCCTCTCCTGCCAGCCTGGTCTCCCCCTATTGCCCTCCCCTGCCAGTCATCTTGTGACCACATGGGGGTGACTGTGACTATCTTGTGCAAGGGTGTGATGGTCAATTTTCATATCACCTCTTTACTATATAGAATAAACAATACCTGAGAGGGATTATTTCCCCTTACCTTCATTCAACACCATAACAAGTTTTCTTGAAAACTGTTTTAGTAAATATTGAATAAATATTTGCTAAAGACAGGCTATTAAATATGAACAAAGTATAAAAAAATCTCTTTTATAAAGAAGTATAAAAAATTTACAAAGTATAAAAAATTCTCTTCATGGTATTTGTTTACGAATGAGAAGGCCTTCTCATACTTAGTGATTTTTCAAACTAAAGTTTCAAATTAATTAGTCTTTTATCTCATACTTAGTGATTTTGTTATCTTATCTAAATGATCTCCTGTGTCATTTTCTCAAAGTCAGATAATCTTTAATATTTAAGTTTCTTAATCCAACTAGAATAATTTTTTTCATAACAAGAGGTATTTTATTTTTCTCTCTACATAAATAACCAATTGTGCCCCGTTTCAATTATTATTATACTAAAGGCCCAGGGCATAAATTCGTGCACAGGTGGGGGGTCCAGCTGGTCTGGCCCCAATTAGGATAGATCAGGCCCAGGACTGTTGGGAGAAGACAGCGGAGGGTTGGCCAGCCAGCCAGTCCTGATCGGGGCCCAATCAGGGCCAGGCTGGCTGGTGGGGAGGGGCCACAGGTGATTGGCTGGTGGGTCCTGCCCCGATTGGTGTGGGGGTGGGGCCAGCTGGGGGGAGGGGCCACAGGCTGATTGGGGTGGTGGTGGCTGATCGGGGGTGGGACTGGCCATCATGGGGGGCTGTGGGTGGTGGAACAGCTTGCCTCACCCCTGAATGGAGTGGGGGTGGCTGATCAAGAGCCAGTAGCCAGGGGCAGGGTCCGTAGGCCATAGGCTGGCTGGTCACATCCCCTATTGGTTTGTGGGGGGGGGCAATCAGGAGCAGAGCTGGGTGGGGGTAGCGGCCCTGGGCCAATCAGGATGGTGGGGGCCCATCTGGAGTGAGGCTGGCCAGAGGGAAGTGCAACAGTAGTTGGCTGGCTGGCCTGCCCCTAATCTGGGCGGGGGCCAATGTGGGGTGGGGCCGGGCAGGGGGAGGTGCTGTGGGCCGATTGCGGTGGTGGGGGCCCATTCGGGGCAGGCCCTATTGGGGTAGAGAGGGCGACTGGGGGGGGGGGCTCGCAGGGGGAAAGGAGCCAAGGGAGATTGGCCACCAGCCCACTCACAATCAGGCTAGTTTGCTGGCTGCAGTGGGCATTATAACGACCAGTCATAGCATCCCAGGTGCTGTTATTTTATATATATGGACTATTTTAAATCTATAACATTATACTAGTAAAATAACTACCAAAAATGCTAAAAAGAGCCCTCCCAACACACAAACACATACATAGCCTTTAATTTATCTTCAGGAATGTCTAGGCCATTTTCTGATGTTTTATATATTATATATACATATTAGAACTTTCTTATAAAGTTCTCTCTCTCTCTCTCACACACACACACACACACACACACACACACACACACACAGTTGGACTTTTTAATGTAATTAGATCAAACTTGGAGACAGTTTGGGGAGAAATGGCATATTTCCAATATTGACCCTAACAATCTATGAACATGTTATATATCTATATTTATTATGGTCTTCCAGAAAAGATGTGTTTTTACCACAAAGTTATTGAATATATCTGATTAAATTCTTGTTACGTATTCATATTTTCTGCTGATTGATAAATAATTTTTTAAAACGTTTAAAATATATTTTATTGATCTTTTACATAGAGGAAGGGAGAGAGACAGAGAGCTAGAAACATCGATGAGAGAGAAACATCGACCAGCTGCCTCCTGCATACCCCCTACCAGGGATGTGCCCATAATCAACGCACATGCCCCTGACCGGAATCGAACCTGGGACCTTTCAGTCTGCAGACGACACTCTACCACTGAGCCAAACAGGTTTCGGCAATAAATAATTTTTTATTTAATTTTGTATCTAGCAACCTTGCTATACTTTATTTTTAAATTAATAAAAATTTTATTAAATTTAGAATTTTTAAAACTTTACATTACAGTCATAAACAAAAGAATGAAAACCTAAATTTAGCCACCACTTAAAGACCAATGGCTTATTATACAAATTTGAGGGGGAAAAGTTCTTCCCAAAATAATCTTGGAACTACTGCAAACATCATATACTTAATTAGTTTTTTCTATTTTCTCAGAAACTCAGAAGATATATGAGACTTTAAATTCAGTTGGAAAGTAAAGACTGACAGGTGAAATATTAACAAATGTACCTGAAAGAATCATTAATTTTTAAAATCTTTAAAAAGTATTTCTATTGTTGAGAGTATTACACATCCCCTTTTTCCCATCATTGATCTCTTTATTAATTCTAATAATTTTTAAAAGGATTCTTTTGAGCAGTTTTTATAGATAATCAAGTCATTTGTCAATAATGATATCATAAAATAACACGATGTCATATATAATACTATGGCCCGGTGCACAAAATTCATGCATGAAGGGGGTTCCCTCAGTCCAGCCTGCACTGTCTCCAATCCGGGACCTCTTGGGGGATTTCTGACTGCCGGTTTAGGCCCTATTCCAAAGGGATTGCTGGCTCCTAACCGTTCACCTGCCTGCCTGCCTGCACCTAACTGTCTCTGCCTGCCTGTGTGATTGCCCCTAAACCCTCTGCCTGCCTGCTTGATCACCCTAACTGCTCTCGCCTGATGGTCTGAACTTGCCCCCAACTGCCTTTCCCTGCCAGCCTGATCTCGCCCCCAAATGGCCTCACCTGCTAACCTAATCTTGCCCCAAACTGCTCTCACCTACTGGCCTGACCGCCCCCAACAGCCTCTACCTGCCTGATTACCCCTACCCATCCTCCCCTGAAGGCCTGATCCCATCCCCAACTTCCCTCCCTTGCTAACCAATTTGGTTCTGATTGGTCGGTTTCTATGCCAGTGTCAAAAGCTCTGCCTCCTAGGTGGCTATTGGCTCCTCACAGTTCACCCAGATTTTGTTCTGGTTGGTCGGTTTCTATGCCAATCAGAGTCAAAATCTCAGCTTTTATCAGTAAGTGTCTCTGGGCCTGATCACAGAAGCAGGGCTGATCAACAGCCCCCACAGAGGCTCGGAGAGAAACAGAGGTGTGGCTGCTGTTAAAGCCCAGAGAAAAAGAAAGAAGCAAAGACTGATCAAGAGCTGCCATGGAGGCTGCTGATCAGACCTTGCCTCTCTCTTCGGGCCTCTCTCTGGGTCTGATCCACAGCCCCCTTGGCAGTCAGTGCTGGGTTGCCACACCAGTACCAGCAGCAGTCATTCCTCGGTCGCCACAGCAACCCAGCAGTGACTGCAGGACTGACTTCCAGTGTACGGTTGGGCCTTCGGTTGTTTTGGATGTTACAGAGCCTGGTTTTTATGTACTGTATTTTCCGGCGTATAAGACGACCCCCTAATTTTACAGTTAAAACATAGGTTTAGGCCTATATTCGCTGTATAAGACTACCCCCCACTTTCGAGGCAACACCAGTTCTTTTTTTAATAGACCGCCTCTCTAACTCAGCCAATCCAAGCAGGCTTTTGATGCATGCAAATTATACATGTTCTATACCCGAAGCTACACTGTGTTCTAGTAAAAAGCCTGCTCAGATTGGCCAGAGTCAGAGAGGCGGTCTATTAAAAAAAGAACTGGTGTTGCCTTGGAAGTGGGGCGTAGTCTTATACAGCGAATACAGGCCTAAACCTATGTTTTAACTTTAAAATGAGGGGGTTATCTTATACGCCGGAAAATAC